GATGTTGGCATCGGATCACACGTTTCGTCCTCGGATGGGGAGGCTGGATGCCCTCCCGCGTGGATGTTGAGTATCATATCAGTGATAAAAGCTGCGGAATCCAACAGATATGACTTCACAGAAATCATCATGACGACTCAGTTTCCCCAAAGACAATCTAATCACGTGCGAAAGCTGCTGCTCATTCTATCTCAAATACTCGTTCCTCCCCTCTATTTCCTTCTCTTCTCTTTTTCTCCAGAGTTCGCCATTTTCCCTACTTGTTACTATGTCTTGCCTTCTCGTCACCTTCGTCCTCCATCAAGTCTTCTTGCTTGGGTACGAGCTGCACCTCTCGCGCCGGCAGTACTGGCATAGAAGCACCATCCCATCTCATGATATCTTCTCCTTCATCACTCCCCTATGACTCGGAGTGCCTTTACCCCTCAATGTACGAGCGGACTGATGGTATCGCCAGATGCCAGTCTCGTTCTGTACAGCTTGATGTTTTTCCTGAGGAGCCGTGATCTCATGGTTTCCAAAGGCAAGATATCAGGCACCCGAGGACAACGAGTATATTGCCCATCTTGTTAGTTTGCCTTCTTTGCCTCTGTGTTGGGGCTGAAGACTCTTCTAGCATCACAACCTTACCACACTTATCTCAAGGACCGGACACTACTGTCCTGTCGAATAACGATCACCCCTCTCATCTGTGCAGTGAGCCTATGTTTCCTGCCCCATACCAACCGCACCTACATTCTCCCAACTGCCCAAGTTTGCACATCGTCAAACTAGCGGCCAAAGCCATGGAAGAGATCATGACAATCAAGACTTGTCTGTCTTGGTGTCTTTGACTGGACATTCATATTGCCCGGCTTCGAGCCTGAGCTGCGGGATTCACTTCGCACTTCCCCTGGCAGCGGTGCGACAGAACGCCAACCAGGACAGCCTTATTGCTCCAGCCAACATGCGAAAAGACAAAGAACAGGACAAAGTTGTCGATCCTCCAAAGCATTATCATTCAGCTGGACAGCATACTCTACTTCTATGCCAGAAGCCACCTAAGTACCAACCGCATGCATTGCGACAACGGGAATTATCCTTATATCCTTGCACCCTTCGCCGCATGAATGATTCCTTGCGGTTCTACAAAGCGAAGGCCAACTTCTCAGACACTCTGCATTTACCACCACAAACCCTATGCTGTTGCCTGTAAAAGCAAAGTTGTACTCAGGAAAGCCATGCCAGGATAAGCCAAGCTGCAGTCAACGAACAGCAAGGTGTGTCTAGGCTTCGGTTACATCCTCACAGACAAAGACTTCAACATGGCTGCGTGGAGAGGAGACCACTCTTGTCAAATCCGTCTGTCATCCCGACACGTTGTCCAAACAACGAACCTTGAGCAAATGTCTGATTTCGTCAGCGGCACTGAGATGGCGCGCGTTGACATCGAAGCTTCCACGACCTGATTAGTGTCAGGTCACAAGGGAAGTCGCTTCAAGGTGTAGAAGCTGGAAGCGCGAGCAAAACTATCGAGTGTGATTCATCCTTCCCTTAGCTCTTTCTACCTGAACCTCACTGGTCCTCGCACAAAAGGTCAACTTTGCCAATGAGGACGAACGGGCGAAGTGAGCTAATACAAGTTACGGACAAGAAGGCAATCACTGCCAATGATATCAGAAAGAAAGTACGGTCACATGCCAACTTTCCCAAGGCTTACAAGCCGGCGGAAACCGAAACGGATACGAAGCAAAAAGACTCATCGGTCAAGTATATCTCTGTATCCTCCGGCTTTAAGTGGAACTTTGGCTTATTTTTTGATGCTATGTCAGTCTGTGAAGTGGCATCGAGTGCGTTGGGGTTGTACCTCCTGCTGGTCTTGAGCCAAAGACAGCTCCCCAATCTCCCCAGTGGCTGTCTAAGGCCCCTTCGATCTGCCCAGCGACGCCCATTCCCTCTGCTCAGCAGAGCCCTCCTCTGCGATGGATCAAATGACACTCATCCCCCTCACCACACAAAATGACTGTGAAAAGGCAGCGCAGATCCTGACCGACATGTCAGACCAGGGTCCTCCTCAGCATCCGCATACGTGTTATAATATTGCCATTGAGTGTACCAGCTGAACCGCTATAAGCTTCTTCCTAAAAATATCAGAAGTGCTAACTAGAGTTTTCTCGGCAAGATGGTCGATAACAAGAACACAACAGAAAGCGCAAGCGCAGCGCCACGGCTGCCGACCAACAATCCCCGTTATCCAAGTTAGCAGCCCCCCCAAACCAGTTGACAAGTCTGGGGAGGGAGCTGCGAAGAAAGTGAAGACCACGAAGATCAAGACTGTGGAGTCCAAGGCGGAGTCCAAAGGGGAAAAGTCTCTAGCCGTAACATCCACTCGCCTTAGTGAGTCGGATAGAATGGCTCTCACTGCTGCCAAGCGAGCTATGTTCGCTGTTTTCTCGTCCAAGGGCAACGGTCCCAAGACACGAATCGCCCCTAACTCCCTGCGTGACTTAATCCAAGAGTGCCCTGACGAAGGTATCGTTAACATCATCACCAATGGGACCTCCTACATGGCGATTGTATGACAGTAGCAGTCCTGCTGTGGCCATTCCAGACTCAGTGGCCTCTCAGGATAAGGAGGTTCCCGGATTTTCTACACAAACGCACATCCTGAACCACGATGATGGATATTCGGAACATTGACTAGTTCAGAAAACACAGAGGAAACATCTCACCGACTGTTGAGTGTTTGCTCGAAGAACATGTGTTATGCACTGTACCTTGTCAGATGTCTCCTTTCATGAGTATCGCAAAGATCCACACTGGACTGGTGATCAAGAAGCCACGGTCAACGTTCGGGCCAAATGGCGAAGCTCGGTGAACAAGAATCACGGTGTTTTGCCTAGAGGATATGAGACAGTACCACTTTTGCTGATTGAGGTTTCTACTCTGCACCCAATTACCCCAATCACAAACACCGGGAAACGACCAGATCAAGCATCTGTCCACTAATGCATTTCAGGGTATGGGCTCTATTCTCAAGCCATGGACTCACCTTGCTTACTCAGACGAGCTGTTTCAATTGCCAACCTTTTGATTGCCTTTCGAAGACAATCAGCCCCGGGAGGAAGTACAAAGAGAAACCCATGTTGAATTGTTGGACCTGACGATGGGCATCACAGACAAACCCATACTTGATTGATCCTATCAACTATTGTAGTTCCAAGTGAGCCATGGGAACAAAGTCTTCTCAACTTTGCAATGAAGAACCCATCAGGGAAGAGAAACAACGGTTCCTCGGCGCCGAAATAGTCGTACCCATGGCAAATCACGATGCGGCCCAAAGGAAGCCCGTTGAGCCAATTACCACTGAAGCATCTTCGGCTGTCCAGTTATCCATCCAGCGGTCCGCGACAGCGTCCCTAAAGCGAAACAGAATTCGGACGAGGAGGACCGCAACGCTGAGCAAGCAGAGGCTGAAGATAGGGTAGAGAAATCCGTGGGAAAAAAACTAGTGCTCTAGACCGAAGTTGCGCTGATGACGGAGGGCATCGAGGCTTGTGCGGAGATTGGAGGAAGTCGTCGACCACCAAAACGACATCAACAATGAGGCGATCCTGAACGACATTTTCCCACACTCATCAACCCGGCTTTTATCCTAAGGTTAAAAAGGACCCGCTAGGGATCAAATTGGTGAATTGGATGAATTGAGCTTGAAAGGGAAGACGCCAAGGAGAGTCAAAAAGGTTGGAACCTGGAGTGCAAGCGGGCCAAGTCCTTCATGGCTGGCTGGTCTCCTGCCTCTATCTACAGCAACTTCAAAAGACAACGCCGGTCCTATTCAGTAAACGAAAGCTAGACGACCATGAGGGCAATCGAAGAAGAGAACTCGAAATCAACCAGCAGCTCTTAGAGTGATCTTATTTATAATGGCAACCAGATCTATCCATCACACACGACTTACTGAACTAGCCTACGATATCAACTGAACGGCCAGCCTTGTATCCCTCAAACCAAGAGACCAAGAGCTTTGAGCCGAGAATAAAGAGAGGAACGAGATCGACGCGCAGGTAGCTATCGATGACTCCATTCACTGAGATCCGCTATGCTCGTACGAAAACGAGGTCACGATTATCCTGCGAAGAATTGGCTAACTGGGAAACGCGATCGCGCTATCAGCCATTTGCAGATCCTTGTCTTGGAGATATCTTCTTTTTATACACGGCCTTGTATCCCTGGCATGATGGGATGCAAACCAACGCAATTTGGCGTACGACCCAAAAGGCACTCAGGCAAAGGAACATGATCAAACGCAGAAAAATCGCCAGCGTGTCAGAGAGACAGAGACCGAGGCCGAAAAGGAACAGCGCACTCAAAAGAGAAAGGAGAGTCTCATGGGCAGAATGATCCAACAAGTCGGGGTTCTTTACAACTGTAAGCCCAACTCAAGCAGCCATCTCTGAATGCAGAGACAGAGAGAGGCAAGCAAGCAGAAAAATATGTGGAGGGAAAAACCGAAAAACGAAAAAGGGAATTTTTCAACTTTTGGACTCTAACACGCTTAGTATTTCGACGAAGCTTTCCATCATAGAGTCTCTCTCACGTCACAACCACCAATACGTCCGAGCTCTAGAGCAAGTTCAGGCAGAGAAACAATACTTAGAATGGTATAAGCAATGGAAAGACCCCCTTAATGTTTTGAGTACTGCTAAGATCTAGATGCGCAATGCAGAGGCCAGAATGGAGGCACTTGGGCTGGTCCCGGATGCACTTCACCGGTTCGACGACATTCCCATCTCAACTGCCATCGAAAGCCATCATATCTGGTTTGCTCCCTGGTCGAGGTGAAGAGGTTGCAGCTGGGTTGCGATGCTGCTCGCCTCCTCCTGCATGAGGCGCAGATGGCATATAGATCTATATTGCATTCGGATGTAGTGGTTGTCGCACGTCCTCCACCGAAATGCACGCCAAGATTGGTTGAGCAGACCAAATTCGACGACTTACACCCGGCGTCGGCTACCATGTTAAAGGCCTTCAAATTTGCCGGAAACGCCAGGAACCCTAGGGTTATCTGGAGCGATGCCCTGACCAATCAGCACTTTGCCATTGCTTGTCGCTATACTCAAACACAACATTTTGCTGAGGGCCACGTCTCATGAGGCTGACAACCTCGACGAAGCGCGTGACGAAGATGGCAGCCTTGACCTGGAGGAACAGGATGATGCAGTCCATGGCTGAGCCTAGCGTGTTCTCCGTCCTATGTGCTGCAGAAATCCTGGGTGATCTTCGACCTCCAGGACAAAGACGTTAGACAGGACGGCCAATCCTTCTACGGAGTCCATCAGGCATGTCTTGACCTCAGTATCGGATAGACTATCAGCGCTCACATGCATATAACTGACGAGAGGCAAAAGCTTAACGAACTCGGGCCTGGAACCATTATTTCGGCTCCTTTGATTACCAAATTGCAAATCGAAAAAGGCCAGAACAGGTTGCTTCTGAAGCCGGCAAGCTCCAGCCCCGACCTAGTTGTGGCAAAAATATCAAGTCAACTTCCAGTGCCGCGAAGACGACGCTGATAGACCCCAGTACAAGCCCATCAACAAGGCGAACGCCATCTGCAAGATTCTGGGGCTCAGCACTACGTGCCTTGCCTACTCAAGGCCAGAGGGGTCAGAGAGAGTTCGATGGTGTTAGGTCTTCCAATCACACCACACCCAACCCAAGACAAAGCATGTATGACTGGATATCACCAAAAGAACGTGAGGCACTAGATCTAAGCGCCACAGATATCGTTGTCATGAACTTAAAAGGTCTCAGATGACCAATTCATGCCCAGAAAGGCATGTTATATTCCTCGCCTTCTTCATGGGGGCTAACTTCAGGAGTGATCCCTTCTGCAGGGTCAAATGGCGCATACCAGAGATACGAGAAGGATAGCCTTGTGCCAGAGCAAGATTACAACAATATCAGCCAAGCACACTGGGATGTTGTCTCCAGCAAGCTGGTATGATCCCATCAAAATGCCCTCAAGCGGGTATACCTCGCTGCTTATTTTTTTTGAGATCTCCCGCTGGGTGAGAAAGAACAAATGATACACCCAACTTTGCCCTTGAATATGAGCGTTTGGAGAATGAACTGTGGCATTAGCAGGCCAAGTTAAAGGGTCATTTGAAGACAGCTGAGGTTGAAGTGGATAAGCATCGTCAGGCTATTTGGAAGTTGGTGGGAGAGCAACTATCGGTCACGAAGATTTGGCCTCGGGTCACGAGGGGCCGAGTTGGTGAGGTCTTCCGAGGGGAGAAGCTTCGTCAGTCAGCAAGCTTGAAGGAAGCCCCCGTATGTGATCTGGCCACCATTCCTGAGACAAACTCAGAATGAGTCCCTTGTCGCCATTCGCCATCAGCCCTAATCTGCGACCTGTACCCGCAGAAGCTCTCCGCCGAGAACACCACGACAGAAGAAGCACAGAAGAAGCCGAGCCTCGAAGATTTGCAACCTTCCAGCGACAAAACAAGTCAAGAGCCGCTTCATGAAGCCTAGGCTTCAATACCGGCAGCAATCTACACAGCTTTCCCCTGACCAACAGCTGAGGCAATTCACACTAGCTCTGTCTGGAGAGACGAGGGATTCAGCGTCCCGCATGATGTTTCTGACTCGGAAGAAGACGATTCATAGCTCGTATGAACGTCTGGCCACCGTGAGCGATTTCAACCGCAGACTCCCAACTTAGAACGATGCTTAGACTCGGATCTAGCAACGTCTGTCGCTCATCCCTCGCGAAAACAAAAATTTCATCTTAACGAGTAATGGTGATTGAAAGGCTGGATGTTAAAAGACGATCGCAAAGTCAACCACTGAAGCTGAATACTATGCTCTTTCCATGGTGACATGTGAAGCAATCTGGATTCGAGGATTTATGGAAGAGCTTGGCCGGCCGATAGACGGACCAATTACCATCTTCTGCGACAACCAGAGTGCGATTAAACTTGCGCACAATGCAGAATTCCACGCGGTACTAAGAAGCTGTCTACCTTTCTCCGGTGAGATCACCTAATGCGCCTCTATCTCAATTCAACAATACAGACGAAAAGATAATCATCACCGAGATGGTGAAGAGAGTTGGCAGAAGATCCTCAAATGGTGCAACTATAACCAAGGAGAGGAATTTCTCAGCATTATCGGAAACCTCAGTTGCTACAATCTAGCTTTGGAAGAAGCAAAAGAGAATCCGGGGGTAGACTCTATCGTTGCCGAGGTGGTAGGTGACATTAGTCTTGCTGTGAAATATATGGAAACTGACTGTTATTAGGTGCAGAAGATCGAGGATGAGCGCCTGGAGAAGATTATGTTCCACCAAGGCCATGAAGACACACGAATCCATCCGTCAACTGATTAAGGAATCCTATGATGGACGTGACAGGGTGCCCAAGATCAAAACAGACATATCCCTAGAGATGTTCGGCTTGCAGACCATCTTCATGGCCCGGGAGAGGTCCACTACGGGAGAATGATTTAATGACCAAGAGATGAAGAGATTTGATTAAGACGATACTGAAAGCCATACCACGCTTGTCCTGTCGACTACTTGAACGTTGAATCGTGTTGCTTCATATTAGGGCCTAAGGAGAGAGGTTGTGCACCAACCCACTATAGATTCCTGCGACACAAGGACAGGCCTGTCTGCTTGACTGCCCGAGGGTACGAGTGTTTGACACCACTCTCACCTTTGTCGACAAGGGTATGATGTACATCATAATCGGCGGATATATATACGCTGAATCACCAACTCCCTTGGTTTTGCTATGCAAAGACCTCCAATGACAACCAAGGAATACCTCGACCTTCTTCGATACGCGATTCGATCCGCGGTCGAGGATTACAACACAATGATTCATTTCTCAGTTTCTGTCACCATACTATAGCACAGCAGGTCACTGGAAGCCAATGCCCATCGAAGCGTGTCTTATCTTATATATTGGGACAAAAGCTCTGAAGGAACAAAGTCTCGGAGTCGAAGTGTAGCGCTTTTGACAACAGCCAAGAAGAACAAATAGCCAGACTCGGAACCGGGAGCGCTCAATATTGTCTCAGCCCAATTCACAACTTATCCCACGCATTTTCCCCTACGTCCTATCCTCCAGGGTTGCACACAATCGTTCCCCGACAGAGGTGGAACTGCGATGAGAGCTTTGTTTGCTTTGACAAATGCTAAGCCCGTGCGACCATCTGATGTATGGAACGGGACAAACCAGCGCCGCGAATGGGTGCACGACTGCAAGAAGACCTTACAACCACGACCACTGGAAAGAGGCCGACCCAGTCCCTCGGATCTGATAGACGAATACAGCTTCCAAGTCACGGCTGCCATAGAACAGGCGAATCGGGAATTTGAATCGCAGCAGGACACGGTACCCGGATATTTCTCAGTCGTCTTTACGCATTGGAAAGGCGTTTATCAAGGACTTTTGTTATGTGGGACCACCAATCGGTACGATTCTTCGTCAGCTACGTCCGCTATGGCGGCGTAAACCCGTGGAGCTTTGATACCAGAGATATATACTATATATTGGCCAAACGACTTTCTGAACAAGAAGGCATTGATTGTATCTGACAGAGGAACTCAAAGAGGCACTTACGAAGACAGACCAAAGGGCAGAAAAAGCAGATATCTGCACCTTACGAAGACACTACACGCTCGCACTCCGAGAGAGGAACGATGGCCTAGACATAGAGATGCGGAGAGATTCGAGCATACACGCATCTGAATTACCTGATAAAGAATAGACTCCCGAAAATGGAGATCGGCTTGCGGAGATGTTGTATTCGAATGTTCAATTGGACCCTGGAGTGTCAAGGCCACGCATGACTCCCTCTACGCAGTTCTCACCATTTGGGGATGATACTTGTTTTTGAGAACTTCAGCTTCTCACAAGGAAATCTCCCGCAAGGCCATGATCACCAGTGGCGAGCATCTGTCTTAAAGAATTCGATGAGTTGGGAATAGGCATGTGTGTCATGGAGTGTTCTAGAGAACAAACAGAAGAATAACTCAATGCTTCTCTTCTTTAAACATCAAACGGCGACTCTTTCAAAGAATCTCACTTGTACCTCGGCATTATGCAGACGGCAGAGGAGGGATACAGTAGAGGCTGGCAAATGATCTGACACAGATCACGATTCTATCTCCTCTGGGTGCCCAGTTGCTCACTTATACAACGCCATGCAACAGCTGCAGATGCTCAAGGCACCGTCGGTGTACATGGAAACGTTTCAAAAATGCTTTGAGGAACACGGTCTATTTCTCGCTGGCACGGAAACACGGGAACAACTGCCACTTCTTTAGGACTGAGAATGCGACACCTTGGAGGAATGACTACACCTTGATCATAAATTTGAGAACCTCGAAGAAAATCTCATTCTCATTCTCGCCACCATCGTGATCGTCTGGGTCCCTCGAATACTCGCCTTTTTCTGCCGAGAGGTTGATGCCAATTGCAAAAAGGATGGTAATGCAAAGAAGTGTCATAGATGCAAAGACGAAAACCTCGAATGCACGAGTTTCTCAGATAGACCTGGTGCAATACCTCTTAAGTCAACAAGACTTAACGGACAACAGTTTCGAGGATCTATCTAGCTTGTATAAGTCGGCGAAAGATTACAAGAACATTGATACCAAGTTGTGGCAAGCCTCGATCATCGTAATCGGAGAGCATCGTGGGACGGAAAATTACCGCCCATAACAATAAGAAGATATTCAGCTGAGCCCGAAAAGACCGGCAGTGGCAAGTTGTTTGGAAATCCAGGCACTATCCCTATGTCAAGCTTTACAGCCACACAGTATAGCAGCTCAACCCAGAAAAGGATTCTATACGCCCAAGTCGGTTTGGACTCTTTGCTGCCTTTTGCGGTATGAGAGCTCCATGCCACAAGAGAATCCCAGGCTCAAGGAAGCATTTAGGAGGGAGATTTGGAAGACGAGGGATGAATATCATAAGACACCTCTTATACCTTATCAGTATTGGGCTGAAAATCCCGGCTTTAGAGAAATGGAGACTTCAGCAGTCAGGAGTCCCACAACAAGCCCACATTGACGAACTTATATAGACAAAGGACCTCGTGATGAAATTGGAGATCAGCTTGAGCATGAATACGATGGCTCTGGAAGACACCTCAAGCATACACAGGAGAACGGCAGTGCTTCTTGACATCCTTATATGGCGAACTTAGCACCAAGCTGTTCACGCCCTTTGCTGAGAGGAAAGACCTTCGAAGAGGCCGAGGTACTGTTTTTATTCAGTGAACCAGCCAAGTCAGCGATCAAAAACTATACCGATGCCCGATCGGTCGGACGTGACTTCGTGTCGAACTTCCAAACTACACGTCGTCGACCTTCTGATCTAAGCGATGTTCCAACCTCTGGGCTTCACATTGGGCTGTCAGACCCTCAACTCGTACAGCGCAAACACGATAGCATCGCTGCTAAACTTTGAACTGCTAATATCCCTCTTGATCAGAATCTCGACTCGGCAAGAAAGATAATCATGACTTCTCATTACTCGCTGATGCACATAAAAGTCATTTCGAATCGCCCAAACGAGCTGGTAGCAAGTGCGGGAGGGATATCCACCAGTACAAGCTCGAAGAAGACCTGAAATTATGCACCGGGAGTGCGGCTTGTTCGTGAATTTGGTGTCGCTCTTCAGGCGCAGCAGCCCACCACTCATCCGACTCAAAACAAAACATCTTTCATCTTCACGAGTTCCAAATGCCCAACTGACTGAATCAAAAGAAGCAGCTCTTGCGATTGATTTCATTTACTTATTCCCCGATTGGTCTGACAGTGGGTCAACTCCTATGGCACTGACTCCGATTCTCCTCCTCAAAAACCTCGCTGAATTCAATCTTGTTTTCCTGTATCATCTCAGTGAATATGAAGCAACCTCCACTGGACCCTGACATGGAGAGAGGTCTCACGGTTGCCAGCGTTCAGTCCGCTCAGACAAACTCAATCTACTTTCAGTGGTGCCTACCTTGAAGATGTCCTTTCTGCCCAGTAGCGAGTTTAAAAGACTTGTGAGCCAGATCTACCTGGACAGCCAGGGTTTCCTCTCGACAGTAAACAAGATCGACATGAGATAGCCTTTCCAATCTCTAGGGTCTGGAGCTTCACCGTTGCCTTACAATCTGACCAAGATACAAGTCTCCAACATTTTCAAGATCGCCATCTCTTCTACCAAGGCTGACCGATATCCCTCTATCTATTATATTTCAATACATCCAAGTCTCCACATGAAGGCCTACGGAAAGTCAATGTAGGACCACAAGTGACGATATATTTTGCATTCATTTAACAGTTCAACCCAAGAAATGTGTCTACTACAGGATAGGTATCGCGGGCACCTTCCATAACAGCATCACCATCACTTCGCATTTGATCATGTCTCGATCACCCAAGACGATGAGCGTTCTCGCTGCCCCCTTCAACGTTTGCAACAATGCAGCAAGAGAATCCGATGCTGAAGGAAGCGTTTCGAAGAAAACTTACTGAGACAAGAACTTCCAACCAAAACATTACCAACATGTTATCAACCGGCCATTCCTAAGTCGATTGCAACAAGCTAGTCAGACGATTCAATGCCTCCAAGTAAGTGCTATGTGGAGGATATGGGCGCCAAGGCTCTAAGCACGACGCCTCTAGAGGGAATAAGACGACTATTGCTATCGAACTCGTTCAACACTACGGAACACTTGATATGCTGGAGACATCTCTCTAGGCTACTCTACGTAAATCTCACTCAATGTTTGCTGAGTTGGATATGAAGATGAAGATTATGGACAGGATGAAGTTGTCCAGAGGATTCTGAGAGCGACGGAGGCTTTTGTGAAAGCTGTTGGGGTAGGGCTACATAGGAGATCATCATGACAGAAGGGATGAAGCTCATCGAGCCTACCAAGCCTGAGGCCAAGATGCGTCGCATCGGAGACCAATTCACGAAAATCCAGATCCATATCTTGCTCGAGCTACACAAATCTTGTAATGGCCCGATCTGTTATACAATACGAACGTGGGCTGCTTCGTCTACGCGCCATGGTAAAGTTCGTTTTATATACTCATCAAGCCCAAGATTAGTCTCGTGGCTGAAGTTGCTGCTATATCTGATGCGTTTCTTTTATCAGAACCAAAAAGTTTTTTGGGGCAACTGAGGCCTTAATATCAACTGACTTTCATGACACTTGCCCTCTATAACATCGACCCAGACAGTCTACGACCTTGCACGATGAATTCCGCAGCAGAGTTCTCCTTCAATGCCAGGGGTTACACCACGAAGGAAGCGAAGTGCTGCCATGAAGTATCTGACCTCGTTCCTTGACACACCAGGAAATGCCACAACCGTTGATGATGGACACCCAGAACCAGATTGAGTACAGGCAGCTTCGTATCTGTATGAACGGGGTGCTGTCCCGTTGAATATGGCGTGAGGGTGAACAACGGTTCAGTGAAGAGAACCGCGTGATCTCAAACGCGAGCTGTTTTGTTGATTGTTTCGGAAAACCCCAATGGTGGTATTTTCTACCTGACACTCTATGGCAGCCTTTCATTATAGCCAACAGGATTTCACTACGATGTCTATTATACCAATTCCTTCCAGTCATCCTGGATAAGAATCCAGTCTAGCCCCATGGTCGTTCATGGGGATATGGACAGTGTCTACAAGCAATGGCCGGGTGACGTGATCCCGATGGAAGAGCAGTTCGTTCGAAAGTGCCCCCGACATTTGCATGCATCTAATTGTTCTCTTCGCTTTCAATTTTCCAGCACAGGGGACATATGTGAGGTGCTATGAGCACACTGCATTGTTCGCCAGAATGTGTGCCCGCCAACACCCAGGGACGCCTACCGGGCAATTGAACTTTTCATCGACAGCATGTTGCTCATAGCGTGCTCTCCAAAGCAGAATGACTATAAGTATAGTTATACTTCTATCTGTAACTACAACAACCAACAGATCTACCAAAGTTCTACAGCAGTCAGACACACGGAGATACAAAACAAAATGTTCCAACTCGTCAAAAAGCTCTTTACACGACAGAGTTCTAACTCTGGCAATTAATCTGACAATGAACCCAAGGGCGCATTTCATAGATTCGGTCAACTGTCTCAGGAAATCCAGAATTTGATCTGGGCTTATGCTCTCTGCGTTGATGCTCCACGGGCCTACTTCGTGGATGTCAGGAAATTGGCTGTCAACCCTCGAATACTCGAAATAGCACACTCTTTCCCAGAAAGTCTTGGTAATTTCCCTCGCCCGCCTGCTTCAAACCCCAAAGGTGATTATGACCTGATGCGAGTTTGCCGTGCATCGTATCAAGTGATCACTCGCTGCTGGACCTTTTATCGGCCATAGGTCCCCATACGCATGATACTTGACAACTCGCATGACAATTCTACGAGGGCGAAGGAAGTAAGCGGCCTTGACATCGACGCAGCCAGCGATTTGGTCATTGTCGAGAGATGGTGTCACGGTAGTGACCGTGTAAGTGGGTTCCACGGCGCCGAAAACTACTGGCCGCATTGGAGGTACATGACATACGACGGTCTAGGAGGCATCCGAAGGGTAGCTATACCGGTTGACGAAAACCTTGATTACGCCGATGATTCCCGTTATCTGGCATGTGTGAAAGCCGTGTTTCCTGATATACAAACGCTTTACTTCTACATGCAGCCAGCTCAGCTAGTTCCACTCAAGAAGCGCCACAAAGGGATACCCAACTTCCTCACCGCTCAGCCATGGCCAGGTGATGAAATCTTCAGGACTCGCGGCCGCATATTCTACGACATAGATCCTTGGGAGATGAGACGTGCTGGAATCGACACGGATGGCTATGTTGAACCGTGGCAGAGGAAGAGGTGGAGGTGGAAGCGGAAGGGCATAGCTTGTATTAAGTTCATTACTTGGCAATGGATCCAGTGATTTATTCACTGATAGATAAGTTTGGGGCATTGAGGTGGTACACTTGGGTTGGCGTCTGAGTCTGGTGTAGTGCATGTTTAATGTTTTGGACTTACAGTCTTGGGCCTTATGATGATAGTTTGAACATATAACCAAACGAACAACCATAACAATACTTCCATTGCTCTCATAGTATATCTTTTGATCAGGAATAGTGACTCTTTTTCACTATGTTCCGAGGTCAATCTGTTCACACTAACAGCTCATGTAAGTGGTGCACGTGATGCGGCAACCAAACCGCAGAACAGTAGTGCACGTGATCGCATGGAAGCTGCTGGGCAGTCCTGCAGCACCTCTTTATGTACCTCCCCTCCATCGCTATTATACACGGCGAAACCGGAGCTACCTTATTAACTTTCGCTTCATCGCAACACATACAATTTCTCGAAATCAATTACTCTCTGTTATTCTCTCTCTAAATTAGATCGTTGATTTTGAAAACCGCATAAACAATACACGAGACGCCAGTTCCTCTACATCCGAGGCATCGAGAACCATCATGATATCGACCCCGCCACCCCGCTCCCTGCGCGACAAGTGTCTCGAGCTGCAGCAAAAGGTCGAAGCGTTCATTGCTGAGGAGGCTGATACGCAGACACTGCGCGATGTACAGAATCAGGTTCGCAAGTCGATAGAAGTCGTAGATGAGGCGTTGCAGAAATATCGGTGCGTTTGTCGGATGGGAAGGTCGGATAAGGGCTGACGGAAGCAGACCGGAACAAATATCGTTATCATATAATGGCGGAAAGGACTGTAAGTCGCATTATGAGGGTCTGGAGCTTTATCAAAGTCCCTTTTACGATCTCTCATGTCTCAGCGACAAATACTAATCATTCTAGGCCTTGTCCTTTTAATCCTCCTCCTCGCTCGCATGGGCCGACATTACTATTCCACATCCGACACGACCAACGGCACTTCCGAACTCACACCCCCCGAGAAGCTCCAATGCGTATACATCGTCGCGGCACATCCCTTTCCCGAAGTCGACACCTTCGTCGAGACGTCCAGCGAACAGTACGGCCTCGAAGTCGCGCGCTATGTTTTACCGATGAAGAAGGGGCTAGAGATATACCTCGAGGAGCGACCGAGTATCAAGGCTGTGTTTGTGGGAACGAGAAGAACGGATCCTCATGGTGAGAACTTGACGTTCTTTGATCCGACGGACGCTGGCTGGCCGTCGTTTATGAGAATACATCCTGTGATTGACTGGCATTATGGTACGACCTCCTCCCTGGCTTTCGACTCTATTTTTGCGAGCTACAGCGAACAATTGCTAACATGCCTTCTGACAGTTCAAATCTGGGCCGTAAGTCCCCGCCACCAATATGCGCCGAACGGACTAACATGACCAGTTTATTCGACACCTCGGCATTGAGTACTGTCCTCTATATGACCAAGGCTACACGAGTCTAGGCGGCATAAAGGACACACATCCAAACCCCCATCTGAAGAAGCAGGGTCAAAATGGAGAGGGTTTCCGACCAGCGTATGAATTAACTCAAGATGACGAAGAGCGACTGGGTCGTGATTCATGAGGTGACTGTATTTGTAAGGCATGTTGATGTTGCATAGGAAGGCATTTTATAGAGCATAGACTCGTGGCGTTTGGGTAAATCATCTCACCATCTCATCGCATTTAGCTATCACATTGCTTCTGTGCCTGTCCATCATGTGCTTGTCAGACCTCGTCTACAGGCACCTGGCCTACATACTCCTCAAGCCTCTTATACGTCTCCCTCCTTATGTTTGCTGCTTCAGCTACATGTCCTTGTTTTTGCAGAAAGGCTTCTAGCTGCCACATATCATGTATAACCTGCGGCGAAGTGCTCGAGTAGCCAAACTCTCGCAAGGCGATCTTGTTTCGCATTCTGTCTGCCACATCGACATCCAACCCTAGTCCCATATCAACGTCCATAAGTACCTTCATCAAATAGGCCATAACCCTGGCCTGAAACCGTGTATGGGACTGCAGTATCTCATCGCTTGGTTGTCCGTCAATCTCGTCAAGAACCCGACTCTTGAGTAGACCCAAGCGCACGAGACTTGCCATGTTTGACTCTCCAAATGTCATTGTGCAGCGATGTTGTATTGCCGAGACGCAAAGCACTTTTGTGATCTCGTAGTCTCTAGGTGGTTCTGTTTTCTCCTTGGAGTTGGAACTGTCGAATAGAACAGCCTGTTGGAAATAGGAATCCTCGTGCGGAATCTTGCTCTTCACCGCTGAGAACCACTTATCAAGACCATCCAGTTGATCCTCGCCAAGTTTGATACAGGAAGATTCCCAAACGAGGCGGTAGTACATGGCCAACAGTCTCGAGTCGTAGTTTCTGCATATGATATCTGCATTCAAACTCCAAGCCTGCTCCAGAAGTTTCATTTTCTCAAGTGTAGCATGCTTCTCCCAGAGATACACCGCTTTTTGCAAGCTTTTCAGCATCTTGATAACCGGATGCTGCATCTCGTGGGTATTACTCGCCAGTTCGACTAGTTGCATGAGAAGCATGCCAAGAAGCTGCGTCTGACCAAGGCGAACCATGTGATACATGATTTCCAAGACATTCCAGATGAATAAAGGCGCCTCGACCTGTAGCATATTCTCGATGTCTAGAAAGGCCTTTCGGGTCAGGCGGCCTGCTAGAACGCCTTTACCACGTTGGATCAGCTCAACGATGGTCCGGAAGGCGAAACTTAATCCTTCTGGATCATATCGGTTGATTTTAGCAGTTCGTGGTGGCGAATGGATGTTTTGTAGGTATAAGCCATCGGCATAGAGAGATTCATAGAATGAATTGCTCCAGTCGTGTATACTTGTGAGAAACTCAAGACTACTTGTCTCCAAAGGATCTGGACTCGGAGAGAGAATAAGTGACTGGCGGTGACATGGCGCAGCGTTTGGCTGCTTTTGAGCCTCTGGTGTGTTTTTTGGAGTCGTTGTCTTGTTCTTGCAAGCAGTCTTCACATTTCTTTGTTTTGATTTATAAAACCCCCATTTTGTGAAGCGCCTCTTATACATCTGAACTCTGATTCCCATGTGAGCTTGCGATAACATCAGATAGATGGGTGATCTCACGATGCCTTGAAATTATGCTTCTCCTCCATGATCTGCATAATATGTCGAAGTTTTCTCCGGTCTTTCATATACAATCTCTCGATGATGGGATAAACGGCCGTCCATTCTGCCTCTCCGTGGTGCATTGATATGACCGGCTTGTTCGGAGGTGATGGTGGATCAGAGGGAGGTTTGGCTGCGAGCAGGGTGGTCTGCAGCACCATTTTTGCAGGTTTCATTGATAGCTATTGAATTATGAGTTCAAGAGGAACGAGAGGCGGTATATCTTTTCAAAAGATGATGATGAAGAGCATTGAAAGGCATGATGAAAGCGGCCCATCTCACCTGAGGAAGTTAAGGTGGCTGACTAAACGCGGATAGGCCAATAGGGTAGGTTCAAGCAGTAGCTCATAAGGATTTAGCAAACATTCTTCACATATGACAATAGAATTTAAGAACATGCTTTAAAATAATGATCACTCTAGTTTATCTCAATAATTAATTATCTTCTCGATTTACTTAATGGCATCGACACTTCCGGTATCTTGCTGGCAGGTATGTTGTGGATGGACGAGACAGGGTCTTCATTCTGCACTGGTCCTTGGAAAGGAGAGCCAAGGGACGAGCTGTACGACTGGGCGATGCTGACTATATGATTGCTAACAAGACCGGGTATCCTGTGCTTATGTATACCGAGTCAGGATAGAAGATTACGGAGACTGTATGGAACAAAGGGTTGGAAGAACTCGAGATTACAGCAGCTCTTGGCAGGGCAGACTAGCAGTTTAAATGCCCACTTGAAAAAGCCACTTGTACGAATTGGATACTGTACAAGACTTGATCGTGTAAGCTAGACTGATCAGCTTGATGAGATTTAGCCGGGGCTGATGATATGATACTTGACAGATTCACTCCCCAACCAAGGACATCTAGACATTAAGCGAAATCACAGACGTGCCATTGAATACCCCACCCAATAACCCCATCATCACGTTGAGATGAGACGAAAAATAAGCTATTACCAACGGCTTCTAGCGCCGGGTATCTGAAACATGAAAGGGGTGGATCAGGATCATCTTATCTTGTCGGCAGATCGTGGTTCAACGCAGGAATTTGAGCCATTTGCTTGCTCTAATCATCTATATCACAGTTTGTCTATTTATCAAAAAGACCAAGAAGACGCTAGATTGCAGACAAGAATGGGTACCCAAATGACTGTGTCTATGTCGGTGATCATCTGCATATTTAACCGCCATGCTCAGATTTATCCGCCCTGTTCCTGAACTAACACTCTGTTCCTGGATCCCTCCCTACATGGATAATTGGTCAACAGCAGGGCAATATGCAAGGAACCAACAATTTTGACACTGCCGAACATCCAATGCCAATTTACCCGGGTAATCAGTACAACCTGGGTCGATCTTCTCGTCACGATACGCTATCTCCATTACCAGTTTCGGTCCCTGGCCCGACAAAATATGCATCCCTGTCACAGACCTGAGACGAAGCGGGACATGCCAGGGGACTTACACCACAAACTACTGACGGAAGATATTTTACCGTAAGGTTAAAGGACACAAGGCTCTCGTGTAGACGTATACAGATGGGACGATCTACATGGGCTTTAATGATGTTGCAGCGGCTAAGCTGGAGGTGTACGCATGGCTAAGCTAACGAATGGATATATATCATGATCTCGGGTCCCGCATCTATACTCGCTTCTTTCTTATTAACAAACGCGAGTCGTTTATTAACATTCCTTCCTTCTTTTTTCCCTTCTTTCAGTAGCTCAAGAAAAGCAAAATACACTCATTTGTTTGCCTTTCTAACCCTACTATACACTCCCTTTTCACAAAAATGCACAAGACTACCCTCCTTGGACTTTTGGCCTCGAGCCCCGTCTCGGCCCAGCTTCACAGCCTGGCGCAGGCCGCTGGACTCAAGTACTTCGGCTCAGCTGTCGATAACGGATATCTCAGTGATGCGCCCTACAGCAAGCTGGCTGATGACGTCGAGGAGTTTGGACAGCTCGTTCCCGAGAACGGACAGAAGTGGGAGACTGTTGAGCCCAAGCAGGGCGATTTTGTTTATACGACTGCTGATGTTGTTCCGGATCTTGCGAAGAAGAATGGTCAGATTTTGAGATGTCATGCTTTGACTTGGCACAGCCAGCTTCCTACCTGGGGTGAGTGATACTACATGTTTGGGCTGGGGGTGCTGTGCTAATGGGTATAGTTTCTTCTGGTGCTTTCTCTGCTGAGGAGCTCACTGAGGTCATCGAGGCTCACATCGCCAACGTTGTTGAGCACTACAAGGGTGACTGCTACGCTTGGGATGTGGTAAACGAGGCCATCGATGACAACGCTGAGTGGCGAGACAGTGTCTTCTCCCGCACTCTAGGAACTGACTTCCTTGGCATCTCCTTCAAGGCTGCCCGCAAGGCCGATCCCGCTGCTAAGCTGTAAGTCCTCCCCTCCTCATGATATGGATGTGTCTGACCGTTTAGGTACTACAACGACTACAACCTTGAGCAGAACGGCGCCAAGACTGACAAGGCCGTCGAGCTTGTCAAGCTTCTCCAGAAGGAGGGCGCTCCTATCGACGGTGTTGGTTTCCAGGGCCATCTGATCGTCGGCGAGACTCCTTCTCGCTCTGAGCTCGCTGCCACTTTCAAGCGCTTCACTGATCTCAACGTTGAGGTCGCCATCACCGAGCTCGACATCCGCCACGAGTCCGTCCCCGCTTCTGCAGCTCAGCTGAAGACCCAGGGTGATGAGTACGCCGATGTTGTTGGTGCTTGTCTCGACACCAAGGGCTGTGTCGGTGTTACCGTCTGGGGTATCACCGACAAGTACAGCTGGATCCCTGGTGTCTTCGAGGGTAACGGCGAGGCTCTTCTCTACACTGATGACTACGAGAAGAAGCCCGCCTGGACCAGTGTCTCCAGCCTTCTCGCCGCTGCTGCCACTGGAGCTCCCGCCACTAGCTCTGTAGCCCCCGTTGAGACTACTGCCCCTCCTACCACCCTTGAGACCAAGACCAAGCCCGTCTACACTGTCCCTGGCACCACGAACTACATGAACACCACCGCTCCTCAGACCGAGCAGACCCGCACTGCTCTTGCTACTGAGACTGATGATAATGATGATGACTGTGCCGAAACCGAAGCCCCTTTCCCTACCTATGCTATCCCCACCAACGGAACACAGGTCTACCCTACCAAGGCTCCCGTCGACGATGACTCTGATGATGACTGCGCCGAGACCGAGGCTCCCATCCCTACTCAAGCCCCTGTTCCCTCCGGTGACTGTGATGAAGATGATGGCGAGTTCGAGCCCACCGTCGCTGCCGTCGAGCCCACCACTCGGGTCCCCGTCATCCGTAGCAGCTCAGCCTATACCTTTAAGTGGAACACCGAGACAACTGCTCCTCAAGTTCCCGCTCCTACAGGCACTGCCCCCGCCTACCCCGTTGGAACTGGCTCTGGCGGTGTCGTCAAGCACTACTACCAGTGTGGTGGTAAGAACTACAAGGGCCCTACCGAGTGTGAGAAGCCCTTCAAGTGCGTTGAGCACAACGAGTACTACTTCCAGTGCGTCTAAGGTATATAATTGAATGGGATTTGGGTGCTTTATTCTTCATTACTACATGTACATAGTTATCTCTACATAATTTAGAGTTCCTTGCTTGAAGCAGGAATTATTGCAAATTTCGTCCCAAACATGTAGTGATTTCGGTGGCACGAAGCATCTTTGTCGGCGTCTTGATTTAGCGAGACGTGAGCTCGTCTAGGCCGTCAGTGTTCCATCGCCGATCTACATTGAGAGTCAGTACCGGTAGTTGGTCTCGAAGTATTTGACTTACTAGTCTGACCCACAACTTGAATACGTCCATTATGAGATGAGGAGGGAACCCCGGTCTTAGTCTCGCGACCTCATTTACAAACTTGTTGAAGTTTGTGTCCGTCATGTACACAGAGAGGTCTTCATTGTTCATGACTTCGAGTTTAGCAAGGATGGTACCTGTCACATTCCTGGTCGAGAGCTCGCGCATGTCCTCGGTGGTGAGATCCATTATATCTGTCTTCGGTTCCTATTTGACATAGTTAGCATTTCTGTCTCTTCCTCTTAGCAAAACCATAAATTAACTTACACCGTAGACCTCCTCACGTACTTCTGCAGCCCAATTCTTCATGAGCCAGTACGCCATCATGTCTGGGGTACCAGATCGGACCCTCACAACACAGTACATGAACCTGTGAAACGCCCAGTCGCAATGGAATCATTCGCTGAACTTGTCCGCGTCCATTTTATAGAGCTTGTCGAGGAGATCCTTGCTTGGTCTGAAGTGGGCGAGGCTCGATAATTCACTGTTGCTGAGGAAATATGGTGTCGGCGTGAACAAAACACGATTCTGGAAGTCTGGAATTAGATTGGATGTCTAACGAGCTTGGGGGAGGGATTCATACCATGTTGTGTACGAGTTACGTGGTGCGACATCTTGATCGAGAAGAATGGAATTCGTGTTGAAGAACAATGCGTCAGAAGTATTTTAAACAATCAGAAGCTATGAGAGAATGCTAAAGTGCTGAGTTTATACATCTAGCCTTATATCCTTATAGATTTCCTCTGAAGCTTTTGTGTACTTATTATATTTTATATGCGTAGGCAAAATAGTTTAAAGTGAATCAGAAAACTTTAGGCCTTTCTGCTCCCCTTCTCTTGCTGTCACTCTGTTTCAGTTCCCTTTCTTGACGCAAGAATACATGTTTCAGGAAAGGCCCCAGAGGTCACTCTCCGTTTCATGGTTCATTATCATCGGCTTTGAGCTAAGGTTGATGACTTGTCCACGAGCGTATACAAAACACTCTCATCTCTAGATGGAATTTGCCAGATTTTCATTATTTTCAATAAACTCAAACATCGTAAGGTTCGCATAGAGTGAAGCCCAGCAGACTGTGGGGTGTGAGAGGGCTTCAGATGTCTTCTATAGCGATTGTCCAGCCCAGCCAATATATCATTTCATAAACCCTTGTCTTCTAGTTAATACCAAAAACTGGCAAAACAAGCAGCATCAGTCTCGAGCGAAAGAGTAAAAGAATCCTCAGTCAGTTCTGGGATGAGAAGAGCCTTGTATCTTCCGACTGACATTCCAGAAGAATCCCAAGGCTTATCTTTCAGACAACCTACAGTCTGGGAGATACCATGACACTACGGATCACAAAGCTTTAGCTTAACAAGCTTTCTCCTTTGCATCAGCACTACACTGAAGCCTGTGGAAAGAATGTTATCACATAACTTCGCCCTCATTTATCGAGCCATGCTATCTGAGTGTGGGCATCAAAATTTGTTACAAGCAGAATGCTAATCAATAGATAGATATCCTGATAATTTTTAACATTAGCTGAAATTATCCAATCACTATATATGCTTTAAGTGTACGCATGTGGGTGGCATTATGACTACCAAATAAAATCAGGGGCGAAACTTTATGACTTTTTAGGTTTCTTTATTTCTTTCTAAGAAGAAACTTTCGTTGTGTGCAGAAATTGCTCTTTTGTCTTGGTAGTCTATTCGCTTTCCCGTCCGTATTTGGGCTCGCTGGGTTTGTAAACTTGCAGAGTCCAAAGTTTCTGATCACCATAGGGCAGACCTACATAAAACTTTATGTATAATTGGCACTGCAGCTTCTGGTATGCTGATTGGCAGGCCTGTCGGAGGATGGCTCCTCGTTTCATCGACCTTGAAGGATGGAATCTGGAGTGACCATTGATAGCTTCATCAGTTCCCAAATAAGGACGGTAAAGAGTTCAAGGTTCAGCTTTTAAGTCGTGAGTCTCGTTTACAGTATCTCAAGTCTGCCAAGCGCGTTCGTCGTCGTCGACCACCAGGTGCCTTCGCAATGTTCTCGTGCGGAAGTGAACTGTAAACCGATACTGAACTCTCCAGCATCCTATCAGAAATGTTCTCTTTCCAGTCTTAGAGAAGTATAAGAAAATTAAAGGTAAGCATTCATTGCCTGCCACTGGGTCCCTTCATGTCAGTTGACATGTAATTTTTGAACACACAGACAGAGTCCCAAACCTCTTCAACTTTTGCTTCACGTCTCAGATTATTCGTTCAAATGCTCAAATTAAAATTCACGATGTTATTTAACCTCTATTCTATTGGATAAAGGCATTATACTTGACCTTCTGAGTCATCCCATGGCAGTGTCTTTTATCTATCTACATTCCATAATGTACACATTACTCCCCTTTTAACTTTTCTTATACTTATATAATTCCCTACTGTACCCTCCTTCCACATCTTTTCTTCTTTCCTTCTAACTATTCTCCAAATCCCACTACCCAATCTTTTTCTGTTTATATACAGCCATCCCACCTTCATCACCTACCACTACCAGTCCAAGACATCACCTCTATAAACAAGCAACAATGTCTTTATCAAAGCAAGACATGAATTACCTTGCCAACGGCAAGTTCATTACCGAAGAGGCCCTCATTGCCATCGCGGCAGCTAAACGCGATGACTTTGGGAAATGGTGCGGGACTCGCCAGTTCCAGCACTTTCTGATGAGAGCTCGGCTCGGGAGCCCATCAGACCCAATGAACCTCCCACGTCTTCAACAGTGGGCAGCTGATGAGATGTTCCATCTCAGAGTTAGTCTCATTTCTGCGGTGCAGTATACTCATGCTAACATTTGCGTGCAGAGCTTGGAAGAGAGCCAGACACATACTGGCGGGAGCCTTGGACAAGGGACAACTTTCAGGGTTCCCACACACGAGAAAGACATGGCAGATGTTGAAGAAGGCCCTCACTTTGTGGGCGATGACCTCATCGCATTTGCTTAAGAGTCTGGGCGCATCTGTTTTCTTCTTTTTTCTCTCTTTCTGTTAGCAGGAGTTCAAGTCTGGTGGTATTAATCCCATTATGGGATCAGCATTATGTTTTACGAAATTATGCCAAACATTGGCAACTGCGCGCAGATCACTCTATGTCTTTACATACTTGAATACATTTGAACACCGGTTCAGTTGTACAAACTATGAAGTTCTTCATCAAAAAGGTGTATTGACGTTATGAGGGGGCGGGTACAGGCGAACCCCATAACATTAATCGGGTGTAACGACCCGTACGCTGCATATAATGTCCCAAGCACGATATAGTAGAAGCATAATGAAAAGCCATTTGGTTCTAAATGAGCAAAAAAGGCATAAACCCTTTAGGGGAGGGCTGCAAATGTCGCCTGTCTGTCAAAGGCCAAGGTTAGACAGAGATGAATAAGGTAGTACTTAGGCTCACTAACACCAGCATTGCGGATCTGGTTCGGCGATCTTCCCCACTCAAGTACGACGAGAGAGGCCTAGCGCCGTCATCAGCTGGTTGGTTAGCTGATAAGAGGCAAGAAAAGATGAAAAATGCAAAAAATACATGCGACGGAGACAGGATTCGAACCTGCGCGGCCGAAACCAAAGCATATCGTCATTTCGAGTGCTTCACCTTAACCACTCGGTCACTCCGCCGTCATCTTTGAACTTTACCTCAGCAGTTCACATTATATTGGTGAGTCAGCCAACCGAGCTCGAAGTGTCCAGAAAGCCACCACCCAGAATTCTCGAACATCCAATCACTTCTTCATCTAAACTACCAAAGTTGTTTCGTTTACTGGACTTATTATATATAGGCACATGAGACAGCAAGGTCCATTCATAGATAATCGCCATACTGGCAGGTTTCATAAGAGGATTTACCCCCAAATAGTAGTTAATCTAGAGGTCCAAGACGACATCGTCGTCTTCGCAGCACAGAGCCTTACTACCAGTCCAACAGCACTTGCCATCACCACATTGACTGCGTCCCCTCTCACTCCAGCCAGATTCACATTCGCCTTCGCAGTAAGGAGCGGTGCCCTCCCATCGACAGCTAGCAGCACCAACTTTGTCCTCCTCCTTTACCAAGTTCTTGACGTAATCCTCCTCTTCACAGCAGAGGGCTTTACTACCAGTCCAACAGCAGCTACCATCACCACATTGGCTACGTCCCCTCTCTTCCCAGCCAGACTCACATTCGCCTGCGCAGTAAGGAGCCGTGCCCTCCCACCGACAACTAGAAGCACCAACTGGTTTGTCTGGCACTAGTTAGTTGAAAGCGCCACTGAATTGAGCAGGTAGCTTACCGATAGCTGTTGCTGTAACTGCAACTGCAGCTGTGATAGAAACAAGGATCTTGAGAAGCATTGTAGCTCTAGTGAGTTGGGCGATGCGGTAGGTTACACTTGTGTGGCTTTAGATATAACGGAGGCAAAGATGCAAGACTGCTAACAAGTTGCAGTGTATCTTCTTCCCTATTTATACCCTTGAGTCTCTCTTCTCAAAATCGAGGATCAACACTTCATTGTCGATCGTATCAAAGCGTACAAATGTGGCTGGCTGAATATGACCGTTTCGTGCATGTATCAGTTGCTTGGACCTCGAATGAGGCCAACCCCGCTTCGGTGAGAATCGCTCAGCGAATGGATCTCAATTCAAGATGAGACAAAAAGCCTGAATGGTATGTGATCAGCTCTTCTACTCCCTGAAATGCCGTTCATGTCTTGTTTGGGTCGATCCAGCTGAGAGCTGAAGCCTATCGTGACGTTATTAGCCTTACCTGCCCTGTGATGATAACGCACCTGTCACTTCTGCCGCAGACACTATTGATGAACTAGTAAGGGGGGTTCGGCCACGTCACACGGGCCGTCGGCAAGAGGCTTTGGCCTTGGACATGAGCCTGTAAACACATACTTGTTATTGGTTGCCGTATTATTTATTCACTTGCTTCCGCCTCGACATAACTCAATTGTTGTGCTGTGAGCAGCCCAGCACTCTCTGATTGCTCAGATTAAACCCACTGCGCGATTTAGGTAGCTTGATAAGGTCAAACCGACCGCCACCTTCAATTGAAGAAAACAAGGCTTCTTTCAATCAAAGCTGGAATGCTCGTTGTGACCAATCAATCTACGCTTTGTACAACATCAATTCATTAGCGATGGGGCTCACTTTTACCCCGCAAAATTGACGGGCTGAAGCATGTGGGACAGCCAGTCACATCACTCGCTGGAGATACCCAATGAGATGGCTCAATTGACAAAAGCCATCAAAGAGCAGCTACCATTCTTCTATGAGAGAATAGCCAAGTCAAGATGATATCTTCATATGGAATTATTGGTGTTCAGTTCAACTTGGCCTGCAGTAACTCATGTTCGACGAAATTACCCATCTTCACCATCCCCACGTGTATCCCCCCAAACCACCAACGGGCTTACACCAAAACCCCCTCCGAGATCTACACTCCAACTCCACGTGCATCAAATTCGCATCGTCGTTGGATCTATAACCAAACCTCCCGATCCGCGCCGATAACGATCTTCCATTTTTGGTCACCGAGGAGCCGCAAAAGTACTCACGCGAGTTGTATCCGTCTTGGCTTTATTTGAATCAAGCTTAAAAGGAACCCAATGTAACTTTAACTTTTTTCTCCGGGCTCAGCGGCGCTTGAACATCTCCCACCATGGTTGCTACATCTTTCATTGTTCAGTTGGCTTTTTTGCCTTGTCTAGTTCTTGGTTCTTCGCTTTCGCCGAGGGTGAAGGAGTTTGACTATGATTCCTTGACGCTTCGTGAAGTTGGTGCTCGGAACACTCTTGTAAGTCGTCTTCAATGGTTAATTGAGAATGTCGCTAAGTTATGCAGGACTGGCGTGTTTGGCTGGAGAAGGATGGGCAGCCTATTTCCTTCTGGCATGATATTCCATTGTACCCTGAGAAGGGCAACAATCGCATCGTTAGCTACGTTGTTGAGATTCCTCGATGGACAGACGGCAAAATCGAGACTCGTCGCAGTGAGCCTCTCAGTGAGTCTTGTAACCATATTCTATGGACCAATTGCGCAATACTAACCAATTCCAGACCCCATCTTCCATGATGACAAGAAGAAGGCTCCTCGTTTCGTTGAGAGCGTCTGGCCTCACAAGTCTTATCCATTCCACTATGGGTCAATCCCCCAGACTTGGGAGAGTCCCAATTTTGACCACGATTTCACTGGATACCCTGGTGACAACGATCCTATTGACCTGTTCGATATCACCGAGTCGTGAGTCTTCTTTCCTGAATGAGAAGCAAAGACTGATTTGTATATAGACCTGCCCATGTTGGACAAGTTAAGTCTGTCAAGGTCCTTGGTGGCCTTGCATTGAACGATGTAGGTCTAGTACATGGCTGACACAAAACGATTGCTAACTGATGCCTAAAGGGTGGCGAGACTGACTGGAAGGTCATTGGTATTGACACCAAGGACCCTCTCGCTGCTCTGGTCGACTGTAAGTACCATCATTCCTATGATCAACACAGGCTAACATTCCCAGCCGTTGAGGATCTCGAAAAGTACCGACCAGGTCTAGCCAAGACCTTCTACAACTGGTTCACCGTAAGCTCTCCGCCCCTTTAACCAAAGTCTCACTAACTCTATCAGTACTACAAAGTTGCTCGCGGCGACAGTGTTCTTGAGATCGTTGGCGGCGACTACCAAAACGCCAAGTTCATGGCCAAGACCATCAAGAGCAGCCACGGCGACTGGCAGGATCTCGTGCGCGGAAAGGTTGACTCCAATGAGATCAACTACAACCAGACCAGCACCAAGAGCTACAAAAGCTATGTCAAGAGTAAGGATGCTACTAAGAAGTTCGACATTCCTGCCAAGTCTAATATTCTTCCTGCTGCGGAGAGACCGGCGAAGTACGATTTGTGGTATTACCTTGATAAGGACTACAAGTTGATTCAGCTTCCTAAGAACTAAGCCAAGGGGGCACGGCTTGGTACTTGCAACATATATTAGAGTATTATAATTCTATACAAACTATTGAAATACATTTCTCATATCTTACTGCCTCTATCTTAATTGAATTTGACCGTCTCATAAGCGCTCTTGGCCCTGATGGTCGGGCCATATTTGAACAACACCCACGGAACTGGCAGCAAGGCCAGCGCAACGAAGGCCAAAAGGCTGCTAGCCCAGTCAATACCCAGCTTCTCATACACTATATATGTTAGCTATTGTTCGCGCAATATCGGGATGGCAACTCACTCTGGATCGTGAACAGCGGAAAGACTCCCGCAAAACCATAGCGTGCCAGACTGTTGGCACTAGCAGCGCTTGCGACAACACTTCCATGATAAGTATCAGTGATATACTGCATGGTGCTAACAAACACACATAGGTTTCCCCAGGCAAAGATGATCATCGATGCTGCGGGACTTGCCCAAGAAACACCCGGTCGTGCCGTCCAAGCAAACCAGAACAATCCAATTGGCAATCCGATACTTCCAATCATGGAAGGGTAAAGACGATGCTCAGGTGGGATCTGATGAGGGGGATATTTCGGTGCTTGCTTTCTGTACAGGAACACGTCGCAGAGAATAACGGTGATGAGTCCTAGAAAGCAGCCGATGACGATGGACAGGAAGACAAGACCTGACTCTTCAATGGAGAACTGGTAGACTCGTCCAAATGTATACGGCACGGCGGCGAAGAAACTGAAGAGTGTTCCAAATTCTGCTGAAACGTATAGACAGATGAATCCGGTGATAGGCTCCAGCAGAAGCATGCGAATAGGCCTAACAACTGCCACGAGGGCAAACATCTTGAGTCGAGCAGCCATCGGCGGCGGAGGATCAACCTTCATTCCCCTCTTCTTCATAAGTCGTCGCTTGATAACCGGATGAAATGTCTCGTGTGAGAACGCAGTGATGATCATAGCCAGTATCGAAAAGAAGACCAACGTCCACTGCGTCCATCGCCAGCCCTTTCGATTCACCACAAAAGAGCCTATGACCGGTCTAAGCAGAAAGTCAGTCGTGTTCTTAACATTTCCTTTCCGGAACTTACCCCAATCCTGGGCCCAAAAACGGCATGAGGATGAAAACTGCTGAAACAGGCCCTCTGTTCTTCGGTGTGAACGTCTCCGACAACGTCCCCGGCGCAACAGCCAAAACAGGCGCCCAGCATAAACCCGCCATGAATCTCAGAAAGCTTAACCCTCCGATATTGTGCACGAAGCCCGCACCCATGGTGAACAGTGCGCCAAGAGGAATACTCGCTGCGTAGATGGGATAGCGGCCTATAGTTTCTGATAACGGACCGCCGATTACAGGGCCGAAGCCGAGGGCCAGGACGTAGAGTGTTAGAGGTAGGAGGGCGACTGTACTGCTGACGTTGAATTCGATCATGAGTTGTGTGCGAGCGGGACTCATTATTGACGTTCCGATTGATCTGAGATGTTAGTTTGGGGTAGGTATACTTGGGATGGGGTGGACTTGCGATAGAAGACCTGCTGAGGATAGCATCACGACTTGGAGGGCTTTCTTCCATGCTGGCCAATTGAAAGGATTATGAGGACTATTATTCCAATCCAGCTCATCAGTCTCACTCTCGATCTGCTCCTTTGGTCTCGCAGCCTCAATCTCGCCCTCCGTCGCAGAGTCGTTCCC